CAGGGAGCAGGACGTCAACCTCTCCACAAGTCCACGGACAATCATGGAACACGTGTAGCAGCCAAACTGCGGAGAAAACACGTTACCGCCGTCCGGACTTTCACCGAGGAACTCTCACATACGATAGGTTCCTTTTTGACTCGCTCCCATTTCGCATTGTATTCATTTTTATACGTGTGGCAATCATGTTAAAAACTTCTATTAGTGCACATTCACCTTCTGATTTGTATTATGGCTATCACCACCGGTGCACTAATAAGACAACCACGGCGGCAGAAGAATGAGTTATTGATTTTTCCTCCGGTTGTGGGTTGGCTCATTCCGTCGCGTGTTCGGCGACATGATCTGCACCACAAACGTGTGTGCCCATAGTTCATGTAGACCTAAACAATCCAATGTGGTTTGTGTCAAGCATTAAAGATTGGCCACCGAATAACTAACCCAGCGTCTGTGCTACGCTGTACACGATTGGTGCTCAAAGAGGCGCGTACGACACCCATTTGAATGCAATAAAGGTAGTCCAGTGAAAAGCAACGAGACATTCCACCGGTCTACTTAGTAATTAGTTCATCATTATCATCATCATCGACAGCATAAAATCAGTGTTCAACACCAATGCCTCACTGCCATACAACCATGACTTATTTGAAAGCCTTATTGTGAACAAAATAGTAAAGGTGGACGGGGAAGGGACTCAGTGATAGCATACCACAATCATTCCGAGGTGCCTATACTTCCAGACATTCATTCAGGCAATCTGGATAGAAACTAACAACAAAAACGCCACTAACATTGGTTGGAAGCCATATCTTGTAGTGTCTCCAACCAGACGCAGTGAGGATCACGCTGTCCCCATCCGGGAAGGCGAGTAGCACCGACAGCACCCAAGCGTTTTGTGAGCTGCTTCATACTCCTTTGCCAAGACAAGGGATGGCCACCCCTCTGTTTATGCTAACCCGCGCGAGCTATGGTTCCGAGACAACGATGGCCGAACACCTGAAGACGTCTCAGTT